TATATATATATATATATAAACATGTTTATCATATGACTAAAAAAAGAGAACGCGCGGATCCAAACGAATGCGAACAAACACGAACTAACAACTTTCTTTAATGAATACAAACGGCGTCGCAAGTACTGGCTCGTTTATTCTGAACTCGCTTTATGCAATGACAGTATAATATATATACGTTTATACAGTATAAGATATATATGATATATACGTTTATTATTTATTAATATTATATATTTGATAATTTTGTCACATTTTACGTTTTACATTTTAATTTACATTTTATATTTTTATATTTTGAAGTCGAGAAAATCGTATTTGTGTTAGCTAAATTAAATAACCTCAGAGTTATACCAAAATAGACCAAAATTTTTTTTATTGCATACAGTGAGTTCAGAATAAACGAGCCAGTACTTGCGACGCCTAATATTTAAATGAATAATTTAAATCATATCACTATATCATATGACTAAAATTTGAATTATAAATTTAAATTAGTGCAACAAAGTATTACATACATACACACACGCACGCACGTACGCACGGACGCACGTACGCACGGACGCACGCACGCACGCACGCACGCACGCACGCACGCACGCACGCCGCACGCACGCACGCACGCACGCACACATAAACACAAAAAGATAAATAGATCTAATGAAAAAGCATAATAAAAAAATAAAAAAATGAATACCTGTGATACTATATCATCGATACTCAATTCTGCCTTGCCTTCCTTATTCCTAGTTTCCATTATTCAATTGTAACATATCAGGATGGACGATGTCATTTTTATCTCTGGTTTTATGGTGATTTCTATGAGATTACGGAAGAAATCTATGATTTTCTGACGAACGAGTTTCAAGTCAATTATTTCTGCCAACCAAGGCATGATTCGATATATGTAAAACTTTAATAAAGCAATACTGTTAAGATTGGTTAATTCTTTGTCGTATACATAGAATTCGTTCTTCGGATTTCTCATGGAATTAACACTTATACCAAAAGCGCAAGTAGCAATCGCGTCGCTAGTATATCTCGTAAAGATGTCTTTTATCTCCATTATTCTTTGCTCCGGTGGTAATTAAGGGGAATATTGGATTCGATAAATTATTACACGGGTCAACACAAAATTTGACTTTGACATTAAAGTATGAAATTTCGATAAATTAGATCATAGATGAACGAAAAAAAATTATATGGCCTGAAAAAGTTTGCTTTTGTATCCGTAAAACGATATTTTTAAAAATTTGTGATTTTAATCTTTATTTTATAATAAAACAATACAAATATAAATGTACATTATTTTTTTAATTTTTATTATCAAATTAGCTTACAAAAAAGAGATCGGAAGAGCACACG